CCAATGACTTCTTCATTGCAGATACCTTTTTTAAACAACATAAAAGATGACTATACACATACATCTCACTAGATGGAATACACAGAAATCAAATTGTGTATATGTGTGTGAGAAGAGATGGTGAAAAGCTGCATATCATCAACCAAAACCAGGCAAGAGGCAGACTGGAACAGAGCATCAGTTGCTCAGAATAAAAGTTCAGGCTGAAACTGAAGAAAATTCTAACAACTCCAGGAGAGCCAAAATTTGACCTTTAACATATCTCACCTGAATTTAGAGATCATCTGAAGAACAGATTTCATACATTAAACTCTAATGACTGAAGACCAGAAGAAAGTCATAGGTCATTAAAAGACAGAAAGAAAAGACTAAAATGGATGTCAGAAAAGACTCTGTAACTTGCTCTTGAACACAGATGCTAAAGTGAGTAGAAGAAAGGAGGAAGTAAAAGAATTAAACAGAAAATTTCTAAGGGCAGCTTTAGAAGACAAAGTGAAGTGTTATAATGAAACATTCAAATACCTGGAGTTAGAAAACCAAAAGGAAGAACACACCCAGCATTTTTTCTCAAGCTGAAAGAACTGAAGAAAAAATTAAAGCCTCAACTTTCAGTATTGAAGGATTCTTTGGACATGTATTGAATGATTCAGGAAACATCAAAAGAAGATGGAAGAATATACAGAATCACTGTACCAAAAAGATAAGGAAAAAGTCCAAGCTCCACTGACAGGTCTTGCCAAAAAACAAAGCTGTAGGAATTGATGGAATACAAATTGAAATGTTTCAACAAACTGATGAAGCATTCAAGGCACTCTCTCATATATGAATCATCAGAAATTTGGAAAACAGCTGCCTGGAAGAGATTGGAAGAGATCCATAATTGTGCCCTTTTAAAAGAAAGGTGGCTCAATGGAGAGCAGGAATCATTAAACAATGTTGTTGTTAAATGTCATAAAGTTGATTCCGACCCATAGCAACCCTGTTTAGGGTTTCCAAGGAGCAGCTCATGAGCTTGAACCACCAGCCTTGCAGTTCAAACAACTTTGCAGTTCTATGCATCAGCCCACAGCACCACACCAGGACTGCTGTCAAACAATAACATTAAGTAAAATTCCGCTGAACATAATTTAAAAGCGGTTGCAGCAGTACATTGACAGAGAGAAATTCAATCTAGATTCAAAAGAGTACATGGAGCTAGGAATATTATTGCTGATGTCCAATGGATCTTGACTGAAAGCTGATTAATACCTGAAAGATATTTACTTGTGCTTTATTGACTATATATACAAAGGCATTCAACTGTGTGGATCATAACAAACTATGGATTAAGATTGTAAAGAATGGGTATCCCAGACCACTTGTGTTCATGAGGAACCTGTACATGGCCCAAGAGGCCGTCTTTCTAACAAAACAAAGGGTATAAAATCAGGAAAGGTGTGCACCATGGTTATATCCTTTCACCGTACTTACTGTATCTGTCTACAGAACAAATGATCAGAGAATTTGGATTACATGAAGAAAAGCATAGCTTCATGATTGAAGGAAGACTCACTAACAACCTATGATATGCAGATGATGCAACCCTGTTTCCTGGAAGCGAAAAGGTCTCAAAGTACTTATTGATGAAGATCAATGTCAATGTCAATATCGATTATACCTCAATGTAAAGAAAACAGAAGTCCTCAGTCTTCACAATAAATAACATCATGATAAACAGAGAAAAGATTGAAGTTATCCAAGACTTCATTTTGCTTGGGTCCACTGTCAACATTCATGGAAGCAATAGTCAAGCTATCAAAAGACATGTTTTATTAGACAAAAGACCTCTTTAAAGTGTTCAAGAGCAAAATGTAAGTTTGAAGACTAAGGTGCGCTTGACTCAAGCTATGATATTTTCAGTCACTTCATATGCATGCTTTAAAAGTACCATGTAGTATTAAGAGATAGTAAAAGTACCATGGACTGCCAGAAGACCAAACAAAGCTGGGCTGGAAGAAGTCCAGCCAGAATGCTCCTCACAAGCTAAGATGACTGGACTTTATCTCTCATACTTTGGGCATATTATCAGGAGGACCAGTTCCTGGAGAACATCATGCTTGCGAAGGGTTATCATAAAAGAGGAAGACCTGCCCTGCCCCCCACAACTGGAGTTTAATTGTAACAATTGTGAGGATGGCCCAGGACCAGGCAGTGTTTCGTTCTGTTGTGCATAGGATTGCTATGAATTGAAACTGACTCAGTGTCACTGAACAACAGTACAACAACATATTCATGTGAAATTTGGACAATGAATAATGAAGCATTTTGGCAGGACTTCTTCCAAGACAGGCTTGTTTATTCTTCTGGCAGTCCTGGTCCATTGAATATTCTTCACTAACACTGTAATTCACATGTGCCAATTCTTCTTTGGTTTTCCTTATTCATTGTCCAATTTTCACATGCATATGAGACAATTCAAAATATCATGATGGGTTAGACACACCTTAATACCATTTGTAGATCCAAGTAAAATGATATAAAATTAAATGTATGGTACTGATCTAATGGATATAATGGATGCTGGGTAATCAACCACCAACAGTCACTTGATAACGTGTCCTATAAAATATTCTCTCAGGCCATATAAAATAACTAATCATAAAGGAAAATTAGACTGCCTAAGCATGTTTTAAATTGACTCACTTGCAACTTACTAGTTTATAATGGTTGATTTCAGCTGACTAGCTATAGCTACTGATAGAGCAGGGGAAATTCATTAAAAATAATGAATTATTCATTTGGATAATATAATGTCGTTATAAAGCACTTCACTGTGTTTGCCATGGATTCAGGACACTGGACTTTTTGTTCCGCTTTGACCTCCATGAGGATTTGCATTTCCACCTCAGATATATTGAATCAGAATCTACATTTTATCAAGATCAATGCTTTGCTTGGGTTGGAACCCAACGGCACTTGAACAACAACAACAATAACCTTTAAAAATCTTTAAGAGACTCTTATTCTTAGGGAGTTTTTCACTTACTAAGCCAAGGGTGTAATAAAAAATTCCTTAATAAAAATAAGCTGTTATCTGTCTTCAAAATTTGTCTTCAATTAGACTTGTCAACAAAGCTAAGTTTTATTGAGTTTACTTAGATCTTGGGGCAGATGATAAGCATACCGAAAATTAAAGATTTGAAAACTTTTTAGCAGTTCACTTGAAGATTCTCATTTTTAATGAGATAAAGGCTATTCTTTACTTTGAAGGAATCAAGCTGTAGAATTGTAGAATTTTGAAACTGTTAGAACCTTAGAACTCAAACTATCTCAAGTATTTTAAAAGCAAGAAATACATAAGATGTAGTTATTAGAGCTAGCTTATTATATGTTTCTTGTTCTTTTGCATTTCCAGTTTTTATAACCTGTACTTGGTCAGCATGCTCTTTGTTGTTAGTTCCTGTTGAGTTAGCTCAGACTCATGGTGACCTCATGTTTTCTGTTGTTGTTGTGTGCCATCGTGTTGGTTCTGACTCATAGTGACCTGTGTAGGGTTTCTGTGGAGTGACTGGTGAGCTTGTACTGCTGACTGTACGGTTCAAACTGACCTTTGAATCCAGTTGACCTTGGAGTCCAGCATTAACCCACAGCACCACACCAGGACTCCTTATGTTTCTTGCTACTGCACTGGTCTTCTTATTGTTAGTTACCATTTAGGGGATTCCAACTCATAGTGACCCTGTGTACAACAGAATGAAAAACTGCCCAGTCCTGCCTCATTTTCATAATTGTTGTTGTGCTTGAGCCCATTGCTGCTGCCACTGTGACAATCCACCTCATTGGGGGGAGGAGTCATCCTTTTTTGCTAACCCTCCACTTTACCGAGCACTTTACCTTTCTCCAGGTACTGGTCCCCCCTGATAACATGTCAAAAGTATGAGAGATGAAGTCTCGCCATCCTGGCTTCTAAGGTGCAATTCATCTGTACTTCTTCCAATGTAGACTTGCCTGTTCTTCAGTTAGTCCTCTGTTAGTTATTCTGTTAGTTTAAAATAATTTTGTTAAATGTCATTGAGTTGGTTCTAACTCATAACGACTCTGTATATGGTTTCCAAGGAGTGGCTGGTGAGTTTTTTGCAATCCAGGGCTCATCCTACAGTGTTACATCCAGGGTACCTTCAATATTCTCTAACACTATAACTCAAATGTAACAGTTCTTCTACATACAGTCTTCCTTATTCATTTTCCAACTTTAATATGCCTATTGGGTTAGGTGCACCTTAGTCCTCAAACTGGTATCTGCGCTTCAACACTCTAAAGAGGTCTTGTGCAGCAGATTTGCCTAATGTAATACACCATTTGATTTCTCGACTGCTGCTTTCTTCAGTGTTGATGGTTGGTCAAGCAAAATAAAGTCTTTGGCAACTTTAGTCTTTTCTCTATTAATGATTATGTTTATTGATCCAGTTGTGAAGGTTTTTGTTTTCTTTACATTGAGGTACAATCCATACTGAAGGCTGTAATCTTGATCTTCATCAGTAAGTATTTTAAGTGTTTTCACTTTTAGCTAGCAAGATTGTATCATCTGCATATCACAGGTTGTTAGTTAGTCTTCCTCCAGTCTTGGTGCCATGTTCTTCTTCATATAATCCAGCTTCTTGGTTTATTTGTTCAGCATTCAGAATGAATAAGTATGGTGAAAGAATACAACCCTGGTGCATACCTTTCCTGATTTTAAATCATTCAGTGTCCCCTTGTTCTGGGTCCATTGTTGTGGCTACTGTGTCAGTTCATCGTATTGGGGGTTTCCCTCATTTTTGCTGACCCTTTCTACCAAACATGATTTTTTCTAGTGATTGATCATTCTTGATAATGTGTCCAAAGTAAGTAAGCTGAAAAACTTATATGAAATACATATGTTTGGTTATTCAATCAGATAGAGTACCTCTAATATTTAAATCAAAGATTGTATTGTATTTACTAACGTTACTTTTGAATTTTGTTACCAGGACAGTTTAAAGATGAATGACAAAAACTTGGCATTGACTTCTCAGCAGCGGAAACTTCCTGAATGGATGTCTATGGACAATAACATGTGTTTTGTGGAAAAAAGAAAGGTAGGTTGTATATTGATTATTCTTTCAGATGAGAAATTTAAATTTGACTGAATTAAGTTAACCATCATTTGTAAAGTCCACATTATTATTTAGGCTAGAGTTGCTGTTATGTGAGTGAACCAGAATCCAGTCATTGAATGGGTATTAGTTTATACTATTTTTTTTTTGTCTTACAATAGTAAGTATGTATTTGTATTTTAATAAGTGATGATCTTTATTAGTTTAATAAATGGTGCGTAGTGGTTACGAATCGGTAGCGTAGTGGTTACGAATCGGGCTGTGAACCTTAAGGTCAGCGGTTCGAAACTACCAGCCGCTCCGCGGGAGAAAGATGAGGCTTTCTACTCCCGTAAAGATTTACACCCTCGGAAACCCTGTACAGGGTCGCTATGGGTCGGAATCGACTCCACGGCACTTAACAACAACAACAACAACAACAACAACTAATTGTAAGGGATTCATATTTGTGCCCATTCCAAAGAAAGGTGACCCAACAGAATGTGGAAGTAATTGAACAACATCATTACTATTACTTGCAAGTAAATTTTTGCTGATAATAACTAAAAAATGGTAGAGTTTATCAATAGGGAATGGCCAGAAATTCAAGGTAGGTTCAGAAGAGGACATAGAATGGGGCATATTATTTCTGATGTCAGATGGATCTTGGCTGACAATAGAAAATACCAGAAAGATGTTTACTTGTGCTTTGTTGATTATGCAAAGGCATTCAACTGTATGAATCATAAAAAACTGTGGGTTACATTTCAGATAATGGGTATTGCAGGACACTTAATTGTGTTCATGAGGAACCTGTACATAGACCAAGAGGCAGTAGTTTAAACAGAACAAGGAGATACTGGATGGTTTAAAATCAGGAAAGGTATGCATCAAGGTTGTGTCCTTTCACCACATTTATTCAATTTGTATGCTGAACAAATGATCTGAGAAGCTGCGTTATATGAAAAAGAACATGACACCAGGATTGGAGGAAGACTCATCAAAAACTTGCATTACACAGATGACACAGTCTTGCTTGCTGAAAGTGAAGAGAACTTAACGAAGATCCAAGAATATAGCATTCAGTATGAATTACACCTCAATATAAAACAAAAATCCACAACTGGACCTATAAATAACATCATGATACAGTGAAGAAAAGATTGAAGTTGTCAGGGATTTCATTTTACTTGGATCTACAATCAACACCCATGAAAGTAGCAGTCAAGATAGCAAATAGCACAATGAATTTGACAAATTTGCTGCAAAAGACCTTTAAAATGTCAAAGAGCCAAGGTGTCAGTTTGGGTACTAAGGTGTGCCTGGCCCAAGCCATGATATTTTCAGTCACCTCATATGCATGCAGATGTTTGACAATGAATAAGGAAGACTGCATTTGAGTTATAGTGTTGGTATAGACTATTGAATATAATGTGAATTGCCAGAAAAACAAAGAAATTTGCTTTGGATGAAGTACAACTGGAATGTTCCTTACTAATGAGGATGACAAGATTTTGTTGTGTATTTTGGAAACATTTTCTGAAGGGACTGGTCCCTGGGGAATGGTGTCATGCTTGGTAAAATTAGGGGGTCATTGAAATAGAAGAAGACCCTCAATGAGATGGATTGACACAGTGGTTACAACAGTAGAGGATGGGCCAGGAACAGGCAGTGTTTTGTTTTTTGTACATAAGGTTGTTATGAGTCAGAACTTGACAGCACCTAATAAGAACAGTAACCAGTCACATTATTACATCTAGAATACTAATATAATTATCTTTATTAAAAAGCAACTCAGTCAAAAGAATGGTTTTATGAAAACAGAAGTTTGAAACTAAAAATTTTATGAAAAATAATTTTATAATGCGATGATTTCATCTTTATTGCTTTGTTTGTATGAATTCACTAGGCTTTAAAATATTAACAAATAAAAGTTAAAATTATAATTTGTATGTTTTAATGTGAACTTGTACCCTTTCTGAATTTCACTTAACTCAAGTCATCTATTCAGAAGAGTGTTTTTGAAGATAAACTCCCCTTCTTAGAATTCAGTGGATCTATTGTGTACAGTTATGAAGCTAGTGATTGTTCTTCCTTATCAGAAGATATTAGGTAAGTGATTTGAATTATCTAATTTCATTTGCTTTTGATCCTTAAAAGATAATAATTATCTATTATAGTAATTAGTATTTGTAAGTATACAGAATTTTACAGTTGAGATGTGGTCTATAGATAAATTTTTTCTATATGTAAAATATTAGTTGTTGTTGCTGTTAAGTTGTCATCGAGTTCTTCTGACTCATAGAGACCCTATATAGGGTTTCTGAGGCTTTTGAAAAGTCATTGCCAGGACCGAAATCATCATCTTTTTTTCTGTGGAGCGACTGGCAGTCTCGAACCACAGACATTGTGATTTGCAGTTCAGTGCTTATTGTATGAAGCCACCATGCTTCCAGAATATTATTGAGAACTTACAACTCTACTTTTTGAATAAAAGCAAATTCACTGAATTAAACTTGCAATGCATCTACTTAGTCACTTAAGCCATTCAATTACAGTAGCTTTTCTTTTTTAAACCTAAAATGTGATGTTATATATGGAACTATTGAACAGTTTCTTTATTTCACCAATTTAGAAAATAAAGCAAGAATTATGCAATCTCTAAATGCATAATTTAAAATATCAATATAGTAGTATTGAATAATGGTTGTGATTGGCTCTGTATATTTGGTTAGTACCAATTATAGTAAATGATCCTTAAAAAGAACATTAGCAGTGATTGTTAGTACTTCTTTTAAAAGGTGTCCTAGTAAATTAGAACTGTGAAGTTCTGGTTGTTAGTGTTAGGTGCCATTGAGGCAGTACCAACTTATAGCGACCCTAGGCACACAGAACGAAACACTGCCTGGTCCTGGGCCAACCACACAACTTTTGCCACGCTTGAGCCCATTGATGCTGCCTTTGCTAATCCATCTCACTGGGAGTCTTCCTCTTTTTCTCTGACCCTCCACCTTACCAAACATGATATCCTTCTCCAGCAACTGGTCCTTTCTGATAGTATGTTCGAAGTATGAGAGATGAAGTTTGGCCATCCTGGCCTCCAAGGAGCACTCTAGCTGCACTTCTTTCAACACAGATCTCTTGGTTCTTTTGGCAGCCCATGGTATTTTCAAAATCTTCCAACACCATAACTCAAAAGCATCAATTCTTCTACGGTCCTATTCATTGTCCAGATTTCGCATGCATATGAGGTTATTGAAAATACTTGAGTCAGATGCACCTTAGTCCTCAAGCTGACATTTTTGCTTTCAACACTTTATAAAGGTCTTGTGCGGCAGATTTGCCTAATGCAATACATTGTTTGATTTCTTGACTGCTGCTTCCATGAGTATTGATGGTTGATCCAAGAAGTATGAAGTCCTTGACAACTTTAATCTTTTCTCCATTGATAAGAATGTTGTTTATTGATCCAGTGGTGAGGATTTTTGTTTTCTTTACATTGAGATGCAATCCATAGTGAAGTGAAGCCTATGGTCTTTGATCTTCATCAGTATGTATTTTAAGTCCTCTTCACTTTCAGCAAGCAAGGTTATGTCATCTGCATATCGCAGGTTGTTAATGAGTCTTCCTTATTAACATAGTATCAACAAAGTAATATTGAATATTACTGATGCCACGATTTCTTCATATAACCCAGCTTCTTGGATTATTTGCTCAGCATACAGGTTGAATAAGTATGGTGAAAGAAGATAGCCCTGTCGCACACCTTTCCTAATTTTAAGTCATTCAGTGTTCCCATGTTCTGTTTGACAACTGCCTCTTGGTCCATGTACAGGTTTCTCATGAGCACAATTTAAGTGTTCAGGAATGCTCACACTTTGCAGTGTTGTTCATAGCTTGTCCACACAATCCAAGGCCTTTGCGTAGTCAATAAAGCACAGGTAAACATCTTTCTGGTATTCTCTGCTTTCAGCCAAGATTCATCTGATGTCAGCAATGATAGCCCTCATTCCATGTCCTCTTCTGAATCTAGCTTGAACCTCTGGAAGTTCTCTTGTCAGTGTGTGGTTGCAGCCATTTCTGTATTACCTTTAGTAAAACTTTACTCGTATGGGATATCAAAGATATTGTCCAATGGTTTCCACATTCCGTTGGTTCACCTTTCTTTGAAATGGGCACAAATACGAATCTCTTCCAATCAGTTGGCTAGATAGTTGTCTTCCAGATTTCTTGGCATAGATGAGTGAGTGCCTCCAGTGCCATCTCACTGTGTTGAAAGATAATTATTAATGATTGGAATGTGAGAGTTGGAAGCAAAGAGGAAGGATCAATAGTTGGAAAATAGGGCCCTGGTGGTAGAAATGATGCTGGAGATCGCATGATAGAATTTTACAAGACCAACAATTTATTAATTGCAAATATTCAGTTTCTAACAACATAAAAGGTGACTGACCATAAACTTTGCTTGATAGAATATACAAGAATCAAATTGACTACATCTGTGGAGAGGATGGAGAAGCTCAGTATCATCAGCCAAAACCAAACATGCAGCAGACTGTGGAACAGACCATCAATTGCTTATATACAAGTTGAGGCTGAAGCTGAAAAAAGTTAAAGCAATTCGAGAGAGCCGAACTATGACCTTGAATGCATCCTACCTGAATTTAGAGACGATCTCAAGAAGAGTTATGGAAAGACATTAAAAACATCATACAGGGAAGAAAGACAAAGGTCATTAAAAAATAGGAAAGAAATAAGAGAACAAATGGATGTCAGAAAATTGAACTTGCTTTCCAGGATAGAGAAGCTAAAGTGAGTGGAAGAAATGAGTAAATCGAAGAATTGAGCAAAACATTTCAAAACACAGCTCGAGAAGACAAAGTCAAGTATTATGATGAAATGTGCAATGACTTGGCGTTTGATAACCAAAAGGGACGAACATGCTCAGCATTTCTCAGGCCAAGAGATCTGAAGAAAAAAATCCAAGCCTTTACTTGCAGTGTTGAGGGATTATATGGGGAAAATATGTAATGATGCAGAAAGCATCAAAAGAAGATGGAAGGAAAACACAGAGGCATTTTGTTAAAAAGAAATGGTTGATTTTTAACCACTTTAAGAGGTATTCTATGGTCAAGAACTGATGGTACTGAAGAAAAATGTCAAAACTGTACTGAAGGCATTGGCAAAAAACAAAGCTCCAGGAATTTATGGAATATAAATTGAAATGTTTTAACAAACTGATGCAGTACTAGAGGTGCTTGCTAATTGTGCCAAGACATTTAGAAGACTATTTTCTGGTCAGCCGATTGAAAGAGACCCTCGTTTTTCCCATTCTAAAGAGAGATGGCTCAACAAAATGTGGAAATGGTTGAACAATACATTAATATCACATGCAGGTAAAATTTTGCTGAAGATAATTAACAAATGGTTGCAACATTATATCAGAAGGAAACTGCAAGAAATCCAAGCTGGATTCAGAAGAGGACATGGATCTCGGAATGTCATTGCTGATGTCAGACAGATCTTGACTGAAATCAGAGAATACTAGAAAGATGTTTACTTTTCTTTCATTGATTATGCAATGGTTTTTGACTACATATATTATGAAAACTAAGGATCACCTTTCAAGTACTAGGAATTCCAAAACACTTAATTGTGCTTTAAGGAACCTGTACCTAGACTAAGTGGCAGTTGTTCAGACAGATCTAGGGGATACTGAACGGTTAAAATCAGGAAAGATGTTTCTGGGGTGTCTCCCTTCATCGTACTTACTCAACCTATATGCTGAGCATATGTGAAGGATATGTGAAGGTTTATGTGAAGAAGAAAATGGCATCAGAATTGGAGAAAGTCTCATTAGCAGTCTGCGATATGCAGATGATATAATCTTGCTTGCTGGAAGCTAAGAGGACTTAAAATATTTACTGATGAGTATCAAAGACTAAAAGCTTTTCAGTATGGATTACACTTCAATGTTTAGAAAACAAAAATCTCACAACAGCACCAATAAATAGCATCATGATAAATGGAGACAAGATTGAAGTTGTCAAAGATTGCATTTTGCTAGAATCCACAATCAACACTCATGGAAGTGACAATTAAAAAATCAAATGATGTATTGCATTAGGCACGTCTGCTGCACAAGACTTCTTTAAAGTGTTCAAGAGCAAAGATATCTTGAGGTGATAGTTCTTTGGTTACTAGTTTGGCTGCACTAGGGTGCTCCTCACTTGTCTTCAGGTGGGTTGAGTAACTGGCGGGAGTGTGCACATGGTTCTATTTTTGATGGTTGTGGAAAGCATCTGAGTGGGGTGAGCATCTGTCATTCATTCAGTGGTGTAGGTAGTGGCATTTGCCTGTATAGTGGGATGGTAGGTGGTAGGGGTAATAAGTGTGGCTGACTTGCTTCATTCCAGATTTGTCTATACTGTGTCACTGTCCTGATGGGGATTATGTAAAGTTGACTTCTCCTTATCTACATATGTTGGCTTCTGTGTCTCAAAATGGCCAGTACTTCGTGGGGCCCCCTCTCTGTTTTATGCCTCAATCACTGCTTTTGTTCTGTCTCCCTCTTTAAATTGGTATTTTATACAATTATTTTCTCCCTCATTTGGTGTTCAGAGTGCCAGGAATATCATCTGTATCTTTTGCATTAAGTTTTTGTAGAGGGGTTGGACAGAGGTGTCACCAGGACACTGCCTTGTCTTCTCCTGTATATCCTTTTTGTTGGAATGTCATTCAAGTCTGTTGCTCAGTTTAAAAAAAATTAATTTATTTTTGTTGTGTTGAGAATATGCACAGCAGAATATACACCAGTTCATCAATTTTAGACATGCATAACTCAGTGACATTGATTATATTCTTTTAAGTTGCACAACCCGCCTTTTTGTCTTATTTCTCCTTCATTAATATAAACTCATTGCACTTAAGTTTCCTATCTTTTCTTCTAAGTTTATATTGTCTGTTTTATCCCACACAGATAGTTCTTAACAGAGGATAATACTTAAGGTAGACTTTCTTTGATTTTGTTGTTAAGTGCCATCTAGTTGGTTCTGATTTATTGTGACCCTGCTGTATAGGATTTCTGAGGAGTGGTTGGCGGGTTTGAACTG